TTTTGGTAAAAATACGGTTTTATTGTGAAAAAATGGTTACAAATTTATCATTCAAAATATTGTCCATCGCTAGCTACTACTCTTTCCCATCTTTCTGGTAATAGGTGGATTCCACGTCGAAAGAACGACACATCTTTTGAGGCTATCCACGAATTGACCCATTTTTTGGTATCCTCATAAGAATAGAAGCGCTGCTCTGGCCATGAGTCATCGATTGAAATAGGTGGTAATCGGAAGGAGCAATATCTGAAGAATACGGTGGGTGTAGTAGGACATCCCAGTTAAGCGCTGCTAACGTTTCCTTGACCAGTTTTGCAACATGTGGCCGAGCGTTGTCTTGCTGGAAAATCACTTTGTCGTGTCTTTTCGCGTAATCTGACCATTTTTGCTTCAATGCTCGGCTCAATTGCATCAATTGTTATTGATAGCGTTCCCCAATGATGGTTTCGTTGGAAAAAACGATGGAAAAAACTTTTTCTTCTGTGTCTTTGAAGCAACAATTTACAGGTAATTTTGCGCCTTTCGACGTGCCTCGGCATCAACTCGTACGGCACCCAATTTCCTTGCTTTTGAATCATTCCAATCGCTTTCAAACATCTGGAAATCGTTGATCGATCAACATTTAATGATTCTGCAAGTTCTTCTTGCGTTTGACTCGGGTCTTGATCGAGTAAAGCTTCCACTTCCTTATCTTCAAACTTTTTCGGCTGGCCTGGACGTTCCTTGTCTTCCGTGTCAAAATCACCTTTTTTAGTGTCGAAATCAGTACTGACATGTTGAAATCGATGGAGTATAATCACTATAAGCTTCCGACAGCATTCGTTGACTTTCTTCGCAGCACTTTTCTTCAAATGGAAGCAAAAAAGCAAAGCTTCCCGCAAATTGCGTTTTGTTGGCACAAAATTCGACATATTCAATGTTCAAAAAAATAATGTTGTTTACACTTCCGCAGAATGACACATACTGAAAACTAAAGCCACATGATGGTGCTTTGACATGAAGGTAGCAACAATATGGCGATATAGTACTTGTTATGCCATCTCTTGAAAATCCTTTAGAATTAATGCACACTCCCAATAACATAATAATATTATAGTTTTAAAATTTAACATAACCTCTAAACACCATAACTTGAACTTAATTTTTACAGTAACTTATGGCGATATTGTCGTAGTTTAGTTGCATTTCTTTCTTTGCTGTGTAATAAGTATAGAATACAATATATAATAAATCCATTTGAGGTTTAACATAACCTCAAAATGAGATAGTTGAACACATTTTTGCAACTTATGATTATGTAATCATGTTCGAGTTGCAATACTTATTTGAAAATAATACTGCTGTTGAATGAAAAGTGCAGAATAATACATATTGCAAAACAAATTAAGATTATGTTATTTTACACAATAAGTTAAGAAAAATGTGTCTAGTTATGTTATTTTGAGATTATATACTCATTAGAATTATTACATATTACATTCTTTATTTATTCAACAGCAGTATTATTTTCTTAATAAGTATTGCAACTCGAGCATGGTTATATAACCATAAGTTGCAAAAATGTATTCAACTGTTCCATTTTGAGGTTATGTCAAATCTTTGGATCTATTATATATTATATTCTATATTTATTATACAGCAAAAAAGAAATACAACTAAACTACAATAATATCGCCATAAGTTATATATAAATAACTGTAAAAATCAAGCTCAGTATGGTATTTAGAGGTTATGTTACATCTTAGAACTATAACATTTTGCTGTTACTATTTTTCAGAAGTGTAAGCCTCAGAATCAACAAAAGCGTGAAAGAATAATCGTGACAAAAACGAATAAAAACTTAAAATTTTACAAAAAAACCTGAAAATCTCCGCTGTTTTGGATTTTTTGGTTATGTGTGGTATATTGCAATTTAATTCCGTTTAAATCATATTTTAATACTGCAGATCACGCAAATGCAAGTGGGAGATAAATAATCTGAAACAAATAATAATCTGAAATAAATAATAAAAACAAAAATTTTCTTATAAAAGCTGCCATATTGAATGCATCATAATTAATTTTTTATCTGCATAGCACCATATTTTAGCTAAAGACATTATGCCATCAGATCCAGACAACTAACACGATCCTATGATAGGATCATGCCGAAAAGTGAGATACAAACAAAGGATATTTTATTTTTTTTTAATTTTTTGGCGTTTCAACTGCCATATTGCAAACATGGCGCGAAAAAAATGGATTTCAGATTCGAAAAGGACATATCTTACATCTATAGGGTATCGAATGCCGCAAAGATCTATAAACGTTTCCTGTCACAATTATTGTAATAAAAAAAAGACAAAATTTAGATCATTTTGGGGCGAAACGGGTCCAATATAGTTATATATTGATTGGACAAGTTTAAATGTATACAATTACGCTTATAAGGTTTTTGTATTTGAAATAAGTATTTTGTATTTTAAATAAACAATTTAAAAGAATTTTGTATTTTGTAATTCAAATAATAAGATCACATTATTTTATATTTTGTATTTCAAAGCCTTTAATGATGTATTTTGCTCAGCCTTGTATATATATATATATATATATATATA